CTCATACATTTCACGAGATTGTGAACACGTGAAATTAGATAAATCCTAAAGCAATAAAAATTCACAGTTTTGAGTCATACATTGAGAAATACTATTAACACTCTAATAATTTACTTCTCATACTCTTCTTATAATAAAGAGTACTTGTTATTTTTATAATAAAATTGCCTCAAATGAACTCTCAAGGATTCTTAGGGGGTGTTTGGTTTGCTTAGAAAATTTATCCTTTAAAATCTTATAAGGATATCTTGATACTTATAAATATCAAAGCTATAATAAATAGTGTAAAAGTAATATTTTTAGGTTTTATTTTTCTGCACACAATTCTCAACTTATAATTTCTTATTTCCACACTTTTTCAAGAAAAGAGTTTACAACTTTTTATTAACTTTTCCTTAGTCAATTTGTTACCAAATAAATAAATAAATAAAAGGTTAAGAAGTCAATAAAATTCTAATAAAATTTTATTAAAAAATTTATTAACTTTTAGTATGATAATTTTTAACTTTTCTTATAATATTTTTTTAATAAAATTTGTCTCTAACCATAAGCTCTTAATTTGTTTGATAGGCATTTTTTGAGGGAAATTGCAGCTCCCAAAATCTATTATCGGGTGTTTAGTTACATTAATCTTTAAATATTAAAGGTTCTTTTATTGATTAGAAATAATACATACATCTTGCAAAATTATATACTCTGTTACACACTAATATTTTTTATTACTTGTGTCGTTAAAATTAATGGTTTTTGTTATTTGTGTCATTAAAACTAATGATTTTTATTCTTTATATCGTTAAAACTGATAATTTTCATATATGTAATGTAGTGTATAACTTTATAAGATATATGTATCATTATCCTATTGATATATTGTGCTTGACAAGTGTACCAATTACTTCATTTGTTGTTTCATTGTAAACCATACAACCTTCTGTGTTGCACCATCGGTTAACATCGCAGGCAGCAGCTTTCGGGGCAATAGTTTCACCTGAAAACTACCAGCAGGCCCTAAAGATGACTAAGACATTTAACAGCTCTGCAGACCGAGCTAGATGCCAAGAAAGTTTCCTCCTGGCTGCTCCTTGTATTTGTGCGAATTGTCTTTGAGTTAGGTCTTGGGGCTGGGCTCAGAATTGTCTAGTGTTATGATCTTAGTTGGTTTTTTCTTCTTTTTATTTTTTGGGATGGGGGATTTTAGAAAGGGGTTTTATATTGAGTAATTGAAGAATTTCAAATTACACATAAGATCGCCGTTTAGTCTTTGCTCTCCATTCTGTTGAATTCACTGTAAATTCTTTAATTTAATCTTCTGGAGATAGGCACGCTTTGACCACGTTGGTATTAAAAAATTAAGTTACTTTTCAAAATTACCTTATTTTCAAAAGTGATTAAATTATATATTATCTCTTTTCGCCAACGAGAAAAATGTTATTTTAAACGTTAAGAAAGGAAGTGTCCATGAACAAATTA